CCTGTCGAGCCACTGTGGTACACTGCATTGTGTTCATTTTTTTTAGTACTTTCTGTGAACTTTACATATCTGAAAAAACGGCACTGTATGATGAACTTGACAAAGTAAACTCGAATTTCCATGAATTAATAAATTCACAACATTTTATGAATACATCAAATAAGCATTTAATTAATACCTGTAATTACGTTGTTTTCTGATGAAATAAATAAGCAAACAAAACAAACAAACAAATCTACATTTACTAAAAAAGTGATAATACATATATAGTGAAAATAAAAAAAAAACATTGCTGAACTTTAAAATTGTTTTTGTGTAACTTAATTATTATTTTTTGACTATTTAATTTTGATTGTATGTTTTCGCATTTCATTTCCATAAATTCTGTTGTTTATCTACTTAGTCTACCAAAAGAGACTGTATTTTCATTAGAGTGATATGAAGTATCATATTCTTTGTAACCATATTCCCAAGAATAGGTCTCTCTATTGTGATTAGGGCCCTCAATAGTTGAGATCAATGTCTTTATTTCTTCTTTGTTTTTTTGATGCCCTGGACAATACCATGATTGGTCTGTTTGGTATGTATTCAAATGGAGTGACAGTTGTCTGGTGTATTATGCAACATTAAATAGTCCTGTGACTTGTTTCTAAAAGCCAATCACTGTGTGGCTCACACTTTGATATTTTTCGTGGGACAGCCACTGTGTGGTATTGGATACTGATCTGTGCCATTGTGTTCAAACAATGGTGGTTTCATTGTTTCTGGGTTTGAATATGTGAACTGATTTATGATCTCTGTTCACTGTTGTATGGTAAAAAAGTTCCACTTCATACGTGACTGAGATGCACAGAACTAATAGTATTTCAAAGATTTCAGTAGGAGCTGTTGCATACTGTATGTGACTGTATTGTTAAAGGGTGGCAGTCGTCACGCCGCGTTCCTGTTCGATATGGGACTCATAGCGACGTATACAACACGTGTAAAATACATTGTTTATTTACATGAAATTTAAACACTCGCTGCGCGACAACCACCACGCTTGAAACCTCTGGTTTCTTAAATAAGTTTGGAATTAATTTTAGGCGTCTTTATCTGTTTATTATGTATATAGTGCACCGAAGTGCCACTGCCATACTGACCGAGGGTTAATTAGAATGGAGAGATGTTTTTAAATCTGATAGCCTTTTGCAATATACAGTGTTGACTGCATTGAACGGCAATTTTTTGTCTACCAGAACTGATATACATATACAATGTAATATATACTATTTGCTCAATGGAAGTGCATATATATACAAAATTGAATGTGTTGTATACCAGTATATTATGATTTATTTTCTCCGGGGAAATACATCTGTAACATAAATCGGCCCATGTACGTGCTAGGAATAAAATAACTACTGTATGGCATACACTGCATAATGCATTATATATCAAATACATTGTATGATGTAGTTTTTTATTATAATGTTTTTAATATGTAATATTCTTTAAATATAAATGACACATATTAATTCCTTCCAAAATTAAGAGCATATAAATCTATATAGCCATGAACCAGAGCAATAAATTTACTACTCTTGTGTTAATGAAAGAAAGTCCCAGAGTAGGTATGTATATTTAACATTTTTGTTGCTCATTCCAGGTAATAGAAGAACAGTTGTCACATTTCCCGATGGCAGTGGGTTTCCTGATGGTATGTGTATTGATGCTGATGGAATGCTTTGGGTTGCCATGTACTTTGGCAGTGTCATATACAGAGTTGATCCATTAACTGGTGGGTAATTCACCAAAACAATTTATCTTACTTCGAGATGTAATTAAATGTCTCTGGATCTCAACTCGCAGTTTTGTTTTTAACATTTGATTGTAATTTAAATAGGAAGCTATACTTGTGCATTTTTTACTTGTATACATGTGTCAACAGCTTGTGAACTTTTATTTGTGCACTACCACACTTTTCAGACAAAAACTTTTTTAGAGCATGCTATTTTCTCAGGACCAAGTACAGTACCCTGTATTTTTATTTGATGTTCTTCAATTAACCTATAATATTTTATGATTTAACCCTTTGTAAAGGTAGGTAAAGAACACTCTGGATGTCTAAAAATAAGGGGTGGGTTATACCCATAGAAGGATATAATGCCTGTGGGAAAAACTGTACTTGTGTATAGAACTAGTTGGCTGTGTCAAAGCTTGCTTTGCTTGCCAATAATATTCTAGTTTGATACAATAATCCTCAAAAAACAGTGTCAGACTCATTTGTTTTTTTCCTAAATAAGTTTAAGACCTTAAATTAAACTGTAATGATTATTTAATTGGTAATTCTTATTATATGCAGTACCACAGACTTATTTTATTTATATTTTGTATATACATGATATATCTGTATCTTCTTATTTTATAGGTACAATAATACGTAATATTGACTTGCCAGTTTCCTGTCCAACATCATGCTGCTTTGGTGGTGAGAATTTTGATGTGCTTTACGTTACCTCTGCTAGTCATTTTTTCTCAGAAGAACAACTTGCCAAGGAACCATTAGCTGGATCTGTATTTCAAGTAACAAATCTTGGTGTGACCGGTTTACCAGCCAATGCATACGGTGGATAATTACATACATGACTGTGTATTCTATATTAATCTTATAGAATTATATCTAAGTGTTGCCATGCAATTTGTATGAATGTATATAAATAATAATTGTCAAGAAATGTGAATATTGTAAAACTTGAAATAATATAAATCAAAGGTATTACTTAATTGTACTTAATTTTACTTAAAATATGTATCAGCCAAATATATTTTACTTCGTAGTATGCATTTAAACAACATTGTATAGATACAATAAAGTTATTAACTTGTATGTGACATCGCTGTTCCAGTTGAATGCCATTTGTACTGAAAAATGGCAGCCCATCCACAGACCCCCAACAGATGGACGCGTTATAAACAAGTAAACAAATTAGGTGACATTGATGTTCATGTAGGATGTTTTGATATGATCCTACCAGTTGATTTGTATTTCATTTCAACTCGCAAGATGATCATATCTTTATTAGGACTATGCTTAGCTCAATGGCAAAAAGCTCTATCCGAACAGCTGGTCCTCCCAAAGTTGCGAGCTGCATCATCATTCTGTTTACTCAATCCCATTTCAAATGCAGATCATTAATAATCCAACTGTTCAAACAGCAATGTTTATTAGTCCCTGTTCGGACGTAGTCCGAAAACGGGGACTTATATTTTGACCTATGTACATCCGTCTGATTGTGTGTCCGTGTGTTGGACCTGTATCTTAGGACATGCCTGGACCAATCACAATCAAACTTCACACATGCATCATACATAATATTATACATATGCACATCAGTTTGTTTCATAATCTGATTCCAAATGGCAGCCATTTTGTGCTAAAAATCATAAAAAATCAAGCATTTTTGGCATTCCAGAACTGGATCTTGGCGTTTATGAATGGAT